ACGAAGATACATCTTAGTGGCATCCCATCCAAGAGAGCTAGTGTGGACCTTAAAAATGCCCTGCAATGTCCGCAGCACAGTCAGGCCTGCCATGGCAAGTGTGGCCATATGTCACTGGTCCCCTCCAGCAATGCAGGAAGGTGAGACCACACTTTCAGAATCTCACCCACTCCCCTTCCGGCCTCTTTTCTCACCACTGGGTTCCCCTGTACCACGGCTGGTGCATGTAATACTATATTAATTTTATTCCACCGAGCAAAGAGTAACTTCGCTTGCCCCCAGATAAAGTAAAAGAGAATTGCTGAGGACAGACGAAAAACCTTCAAACTGTAGTCCGGGCGATTTTCGTATGTCTGAGGAGACCAGACTTTCTGCTAAGTTCAGGGCTTCACATAAGGCACCGTTTAATGGACAGAGCCGACAGAGTGTAAACCTGACCACTAAAACCATTTTTCCATATGAGTAAGACAAGCTGGCGGAGAGGAAGGGAGAAGACTGCCTCTCAAAGCAACTGGAACCAATTTGCAAAACATCAACGCCACACATGCAAACAACCTGCGTGCTTAAAAATCTCCATAGGACTTTAACAACGGTAGAAAACCTTGTCATGAACTAATCTTCCCACTGAGCAATTAAAATATCTGGGCAATATTTTTTAAATAGCTAGTTGAAAATAGAAGAACTGAAGACCAATCCAAACCAGGAGCAAACCAGAGGGAATCAGACACCCGAGAGAAGGGAACTCCAGGGGGCAAGAGCCCTGTTTGTAAGCGTCTCTCTAGATTATGCTCCCAAGCTACAAGGGAAGCCACAGTTCTATCAGCTGGAGGTACAATTCAGGACCACCAGATGACCAGACGTGGAGGAAATCATAGACAGGACAGGGCCACAGACAAGACGTCAGTCTGTCAGCTTCTGAAATCCACACATCTTCCTTAACTGTGTATGTACAAGGGAGACTCAAGATGTCCTGAAACTGGGGGAGCTAAAACATTAAATAAAGTTAGAAGGGTCGGGCAGTGGTGGCGCACGCCTTTAATCACAGCACTCAGGAGGCAGAGCCAGGTGGATCTCTGTGAGTTTGAGGCCAGCCTGGGCTACAGAGTGAGATCCAGGACAGGTACCAAAACTACACAGAGAAACCCTTTCTCAAAAAAAAAAAAAAAAAAAGTTAAAGGACTTAAAGTCCTTGGGATTTCCAGTGAATCACCAGATTGGCTGTGCTTGGTAAGTAAGCGCTATGCCCTAGGGCTGTAAAACTGGTCCCGGACTAAGAAGAATGAAACAGTTCCATTCTTGAAAGACTCCACGCCTTTAAGGGGATCGGCCAATGATGTAACTACTCACTAGAGAAAAAAAAGAAAACAGGAGGAGGAATCCAAGAAGGCCTGTATAGGACACTCTCAGTAAGAGAAAGCACTTGCCAGAATTTGACAGGCACTCCTATTTTAGAAAAAATAAAGGAGCTCAAAGATAAACAAGAATTAGAAAGGGCTTCATTTTGAGCAAGTCAACCTGTGATATATCTAAAGCACCAGCTAAAGAGCCTGATGCTTGAAGATTTGCCATCTTAAGAAAAGGCACATACGATTACGATGGTGCATGCCTATAACTCCAGCTACTCGGCAGGCTGAGGCAGGAGGATGGCAAGTTCTTCCTCCTTAGAACGGGTAGGTCTGAGACAAGGCCGCAGTGACCTGGGGATACACTGAGGCATTTAAAAGGGCATAAACATGTAACTGTGTTTGTTCACAGACGACACGGATACTACACAAGTGCACACAAACACAGCTATTAGAAGCATTATTTAGTAGTGCATTTAGTAATAAGGCCATAGCATAAAAAGCCAATGTCCCCCCCAAAAAACACTTCTATACACTATTTTTAAAATGAAATCCTCAAAATTCCATTTCCAACGTCACAAACCTTGACATAGGTAGCAATAAATTTTTTTTTAAACACAAGCAAGCTCTATATCGAAAATTATATAATACTAATCATTCTAATTATACTGCTGAGCAACGTTCAAAGCCATCATGGGGAGAGGCGTACTGTGTTCATTGACTTGAAGACACTTATAATGAGTAAGCTGCCAATCTGCTCAAATTGATCTAGGGAGCCAATCCAATTTCATTTCAAAGTCCAGAGGCTCCTTGTGCAGAAACGATAAGCTGATGCCAAGGCGGACGTCAAAATTCCAAATACTGAGGATAGCTAACACAACCTTAAGTAAAAAGCAAATGGGAGCACAGCTAGGGTCCTCACAGGACTGAAGCTTGTGTCTTACTACCAATTGATGTTGAAGAGGGCAGTGTTGAACCAGCCAACCATGACCAAACAGATCAGCAGAACAGAACAGATTACCCAGAAACAGACCCACCCATGTGAGCACTAGATTTTCAACACAAGTTCTGTGGTTGTTCAGTGGGAATGGGAAGCTTTGACTACAGTGGTCCTGTAGTAACACATTCGGGTCTGTGAAGATGCTCTGAATTCCGCTTACAGCATGGACATTAAGGTGACACATGGACTACAATGTAAAAGTGAAAATGCAAGATTCCAGAATAAAACACGTGACTATCTTGGCGAACCCCCCAAGAGACCTTGTAAAGAAGACAAAATGTACAAATTACAAAAGACGATGCTGACACATGGAGCTTTGCCGTAACTAAAACCTTCCAAATTCTAAAAAAAAAAAAAAACCTAAATTAAAAGCTTGGCAGTTTGAGGCAGACAGATGACAAGTTTGAAGGCTTACCTGGGCAACTTAGTAAGATCCTATCTCAAAAAGAGAAGGTAAAAGAAGTCTAAGCACCAAGCGGTGGTGGTGCACAGCTTTAATCCCAGCACTCGGAAGGCAGAGCCAGGCAGATCTCTGTGAGTTTGAGACCAGCCTTGTCTACAGAGTGAGTTCCAGAACAGACACCAAAACTACACAGAGAAACACTGTCTCGGGGGAAAAAAAAGCCTAAGCATGAACAGAGTGTAGGTCACTTGCAGAGCACACACAAGACCCCGGTGCCAATCCCCAGTAGGAAGACAAGGAGGGATGCACAGGGAGACTGGGAAAAACACTTGTCATATGTATTTACACAAAGGCCTCCCATTAAGAAAACATAAGAACTCCCATAAATTGTGGTAAAAGGGCATTTTCATCTAACTTGGGGCTAGGGCCTGCCTCCATCGTGGAGTGCTCTGGAGAGCAAGCATGAGGCCCTGGGTTTAATCCTCAGCGTAAAGAAAAATCACAAATAGTTCACAATGTTTAGAGAACAGGGCAGAAGACTTAAAGGAACACATCCACTAAAGAAACATAAATGGCAGAGAAGCCCATGAGAAAGTTCTCCACATCAGTAACACACATATTACAACCACAAAGCCACGGTTCCCATCCACCAGAGCATTGAAGGTCAAAAAGAATGATCCCACCAAGTGTTAGTAAGAGCCTAGAACATTCATAGGCTGCAGTGAGGGTGTAAGAAAATAGGACCACTTCAGATAACCATCTTGAGACTCATAAAACTAAACGCACATCCACGCTAAGACCTAGCAAGTCTGCTCTTATCAATTTACCTAAAAGCAATGAAAAGTGTGCATTCACAAAACTTAAGTTCAAGGATGCTTACAGAAGCACTATTCATAATAGATAATGACAGGGAAACCCCCAAGGTCTAAACAAATGGGTGCTAGAGTTATGTAATGAAATATTATTATCAATAAAGATAAAAATACTGATGTGTACAATGATATGAATGAATCCTTCAGAAATGATGATAAGCAAAAAGAAACTAGACCCCCAAAACAAGCTATACAATTCCATTTACACGAATTTCTAGAATGGGCAAAAATACTCCACAGGAGTGAGAAAGCATTATAGTTATTACCCTGGGCAGCAGGAGTGGCCAATAGAACGCGTAAGGGAACCCTCAGAAAGGCAGAGAGGTTCTGCATCTTGGATTACAGAGCTGATTTACTGGGTTATTTACTGAATTATTTGAAAGATCAAATTACTCACATTGGATCTTTCACTTCACCATATATAATTTTTGCCTCAATTTTCACAAATGGTTTTTGGTTATGAGGGACAATTTGGTAGCACCAACTAAAGCACAGGATCTCTTAAGGGATAAGAATAAAGTGGAGATTATGAAAAAAAGAACATGATCCTCAAATTTCTTTTAGAGGCAAACTAAAACCTGGCACAAAACCAGAACTCTGAAGTAGAATTTAATAGGCATGACTCAGAAGAAACAAAACAATCCCGCAGTTCATCTAGGAGATGACGGATAAGAACAAAAAGTCAGTGAGTGTGATAACAAAACCCAAGACTGACAGTTCTGCAAAAGACATTGAACTTGGCAATCTGAACAGGTAGACTTCTGGGCAAGAGAGTTCAGACAGCCCAAGTTACACGAGAGGTTTTAAAGCATCCTTCCAGAAATGCTCCTGCTGTAATTTCCATTGACAGACATTTATGGTGATATTTTATTTGTATTAAAATGTTATTTGTATGTTAATAAATAAAGTTGCCCGGGGGTCAGAGCTATTAGCAAGCCATAGGAAAGCAGGGCAGTGGTAGCATACGCTTGTAATTCCAGCACTTGGTAGGCAGAGCTGGGTAAGTCTCTGTGTGTTCAGGGATACAGCCATTATTGGATACACATGCCTTTAATCTTAATACCAATCATGGAAAACCTGGAGGCCTATACAGACAGGCCGTGAGGAGGCGGTCATGTGGTTGGGTTTACAACCAATGAGAAGGCAGGACAGGAACTCTATATAAAGACTTTAACACAGGGGTAGCTCTGGTTCGGAGAGGTAGGACCACCGCAGGAGGAAGGGTAAGGTTTTAGCTCTTAGCTCTGACCTCTTGGCTTTCTTCTTTGCATTGGTTCTGTGTTTCTTATTTAATAAGAAGGTTGGATACATCTACAGACATTCCTCTTAATTATGGACTGAAACTACACATGCACCAGAAACCACTCAAAACTCATTCTTACCTTCAGTGAAACTCCCTGTTAGGGTTATTACCACAAACACTTTCCCCTCGGGCTCCAGATCCACCTAGAAAGAGAAAAAAAACAGAGCATATATTTTAATATTGAATTGCTTTTTGTACATCTTAAATAATTCTTTTTTTTTTTTTTTTTTTTTTTTTTTTTTGGTTTTTCGAGACAGGGTTTCTCTGTGTAGCTTTGCGCCTCTCCTGGAACTCACTTGGTAGCCCAGGCTGGCCTCGAACTCACAGAGATCCGCCTGGCTCTGCCTCCCAAGTGCTGGGATTAAAGGCGTGCGCCACCACCGCCCGGCTACATCTTAAATAATTCTTTATGGAGAGGCCTAACTGCATAAATCACAGTCACAAACTGAAACTAAATCTTTCATTGGACAATAAAGAGACAAAGAAATAAGTGGAATCTTGAGAAACAGTGGAGCTTGGAAACCAACGATCTACTGAGAGCTTCCTCTTAAATTGCCTTCCCTCCCTGTCTGCATCGCTGGATGCACAGGAGCAAGCATGCACTTGCTTCTTGCTTTGGAGCCCCCACATCTTATGCACGTCTCTAGTAGGAGCAGTTAAACCACATTGCAAGTAAGTGGGCTAGAGAAACAAGGGCAACGTAGAAGGAGTTGAGGAAATGTGGCTCAGTCAACTCCAAAGGTCTAGTTTTAGGAAGTAAAATGTCTGAAGAGGCTCTATCTGTTTCGACCAGTACAGCCCATGACAAAGATTAATTACTTTTGTACAGCTCAACAGCCATTAAGGTTATCTATCAGCTGAGACATCAAGACTGTATTCTAAAGATCCTCACACAGCAGGGCACCCAGGATGGAACCGCGCCCTGCAGACCTGCTGCATCTCCATATACCTGACCTCCATATGCTCTGACCTCTTCCTTCAAGATGTTAAACTCACTGTCCACCCACATTTCAAAACGCTGCACCATGAGATGCTTGTGGATTAAAATGCGCGCATTTACAAATGTCCTCAAATCCTCATTCAGCTCATGGCTCCACTTCTGCCTTTGACCTTTCCCCTACAAGAAGAAAGTCCGGCTAAGTATAGCCATGATGACCTGGGGGGGGGGGGCGCAGAACAGCACTTTAAATAAGCTGCAAATTGCATGATACAACAGAGGACCCCTGCCCTGGAGGACCTATCTGATTCTACTGCAGGTAGCAATGGAGTGGCCCCGTCCTCCACCTTCGGAAAGTCCCTGTTCTCTGAGAGTTCACATGAGGCATTTCTGGCCCAACTTCCATCACAGAACTTAACCGTGTTACTCATTGCTTTAATTGTATCTACAGGTAAACAAAGACCCCCTCAAAGTGCACTGGTCTTTGCTAAGTCACTACCATACATCACACTCCCGTTAGATACTTTTCACAATACAATGTGACCGCTTTCTACTCCCTGAAGGCTTTTACCTCTAGACTGCGGCAGCCAGTTCTTAAACTCTGCCTTTCTCTGCACGGAATCTGTGCCCAGTGAGATTACCATACTGTCAATCACTTCCATGCTCAACTCAAACTGCCTGGATCGAGATGAACACTAACTTACAATGTCATGTTAACTACCTTGACGCCACTTGCGAGCCTCTCCTGAGTGCTTCTGAAAATAACCGTCTCTGGAGAGATGACTACACAGGATGGCGGTGTCTCATTGTCTCCACTCTCCGCCTCGACTTGTTTCAAGTCAAAAAGATGTTATTTTTAAAAGCCACTCCCTCACCTTCAGCAAAAAGGCCTGACAAAGAAGGCGTACACACACTCAGCCCCACAGCACAATCCGCTGTGCATGCTGGTGCAGCCACTGATAGCCTGCGGACAGACAGACTGCCAGCCCCCCTCTGCCATCCTACACCCACAACCAGCATGTGAACCTTTGCCAACAACACCCAGAGGACCCACAAAGATGGCCACTTCATCCCCACGGGCTAGGAGCTCTCTGATGGATGTCAGGAGACCACACCACCTAGAGTCAGGTGCTCACACACAGAGAACCGGCTTGCCTCCTCCTTTTTCCCATGCATTATCGTCGTCATGAGAGCCCAGAGTCAAGCCCCATCTTCAAGCCTTGTCTGTCTGAAGCAGATGTGCTAGGACAGGGGACCTAAGCACAGGGTTTCAAACCGTAGGCCAAGGCTTAGTCATAGGGATGGGAAAACAAGTCAGTGGATTGCACATCGCAGGGATTTGTAAGCAGAATCTAACAGGACAGAAAATGTAAACACGGCAAGTGTAAAGGAGAAGCACCATTTTGTAAAGCTTTGTGTGTAACGTTCCTCTGTGTGCACACGTGTGCACACGGGTATACATGCAAACATGTATATGTGGAGGTCAGAGAGCAACATGGGGAGTCTTCCTGCTCTCTACTGTATTTTTGAAGACACAGTCTCACACTGAACATGGGGCTCGTACCTGGCCAATGAGCTCCAAGAACGTACCTGTCTCCACCTTCTACACATGCACGACAGCTTCCACGGGGTGCTGAGAGTCCAAGTTCAGGCCCTCATATTTGTGAACCGGGTACTTTGAGGATGAAACATCTCCCCGAGCCCCGATTTCATGAAATTTTTGTTTGCATTTTGATATGCATGTAAGAGTGCACTGGGTTTTCATGTAAAGATGCATTCTCTGCTGTGTCATAAAGAAACCTGAGGTCGTGGAGCTGGTAAGATGGATTGGCTACTGTCACTTATTCACGGTGTTTGCTTTGACATCCCCCTTGAGAGCTGACTGCCTCCCTCAACAACAGGACTGTTTCATTCCTGTATTTCGCAGGAAGCGCTATGAGCAGAAATGGAATGCGATCAATGATTTCCACTCGCTGACACTCGTTCTCCCCTCCCCAGTTCTAGTGGAAACCGTCTCTCCAGTCAGACTGCAACACCTAGAGCAGCTCTTGGCCTTTGGTTCAGCTAGCCCCCTACCCCACTTACAGGGTGCACTGGTGACCTAGGATTAGTTAATCAGAGCACAAGTCCCTACAACCACAATGACAGACCGTGATGGTTAGCCATGTCAGCTTGACATGACTGAGAATCACTAAGGAGAGCAAGCCTATGGGCACATCTGTGAGGTACTGTCTAGACTAGGTTAATCGAGGTGGGAAAGCCCACCATCCATGTGGGCAGTACCATTCCCTTGGCTGGTGTCCTGGACCAAAGGTAAGAGGAAAAAGCAAGCTGAGCACAGATGTTCATCACTTTGTGCCCCTTGACTGCAGATGGAATGGGACGGGCTGCTTCAAGTTCCTGCTGCCATGAATTCCCCACCACGATGGACTGTGGACCAAAATACCCCTTCCTTCTTGAGGCTGCTCCTGTCAAGTACTCTACAACAGCAATACATAACTAATACATCAGCCTAGAACAGACACTGTCCCTGTCTGGCTATAGGCGCAACGTAACTCTCTCCTCTTGGTCACTGCTAGTTCAAGTTTGGGTACGAAATTTAAGTAGATCCAACTAGGAATTCTAGATATGCAAGAAAGAGTCAATGTCTCATTTCCTGCTTAACATCACCCTAGGACATCAACTTTGAAGTATCTGGCACCCTTGATATCACACAAAACTAGAGAATGAGGCAAAGAGGAGAAAGCTGAGAGGTAGAAGGAGACCAGGTTTTGATACTATTTCATCCCATGGCTCCTGTCATGTTCTCGTCTTCTTGAGTTTTCAGTGATTTGAGCTCATAAACCCCTCTTTCATTATCCAGCCACCTTGAACAGGGTTTTCCATCACTCACACCCAAAAGTCTTAACTCACATCCTAAGAAAAAGAGAAGACACCAAAAATGTAACTAATACATCCCTTCTGCATGCTATCTCTTCGACTGTGATGCTCTGCCTCACTCCATCGCTTAAATAGCTCTTCCAGCCTCATCTCATCCTCCTGTCAAATCCACCAACTGGTCCATCATCATCATCCACACACAAGCGTGTTCATCACAGTTGATTTCTCAGGAGCATTTGATCTTGTTGGCAGTTTCCTTCCAGACTCTGTCTCAGGACCACCGCTTCTGGACATCACTCTTTCAGGGCCCTCCTCACGCTTCTTTACTTTTCTCAAGCTCCAGTAACGCACTCTTTCATGCTCTCTGTCTCTCTGTCTGTCTCTTTCTCTTTCTTTTCTCCATGATCTCACTAGAATTGCTGTTGTTGATGATGATGATGATGATGTTGTTGTTAATAACCACTCTGACTGGAGTGAGATGACAATTCACTGCGGCTTTGATTTGTATGTCTTCAGTGGCACTGTGTATTTCGGCCCTCTGTATACCCTCCTTCAAAAACACATGTGGAGGTTGTATCCACAGGAATCCATGTTGCTCTAATACCTCCTTACCCTAGCGCATCCTCTGCATCTGTCTGGGAGCAATGCCGGAAGACAATTAGACCCTAGAGCTAGATACGTCCTCTCTAGTCTGTGACCCTGCGTAAGTCATTCAGCATCTCGACACCAAGACCCTACCAACAATCCACAGTCTGAATTAACTGGGGAAAATGGGTGGCGGAGCGGGGTGGGGGTGAGGGGTGGAACTGATGCTTTTCTAAGTTCCTGAAGGCTCTGACGCAGTCAGACCTTGACCCATCACCTGGGAATCCTGAGTTAGGTGATCTCTGAGAACTTTAATGGCTCTGATTCCTTGCTCGCCTGAGTTTCCAGTTACCACAGAATCACTGAATCTGCCATTCTTGTAATCTCCAAAACTAAACATCTTGGAGCCTCTCTAGCTCGGGATACCCTGCAAATCTGTCTTTCCAACCTCTGCAGCACTGGAGCATCCCATTCCCACAGGATTCTTTGTCTTCCAGATGTGAACACCCTCCCCAAAGCACACACAAAGCAAGCAAAGAATGTCTTCACCTGGCTATCCAAGGACCCTTTCCAAAGTGCCTCTCTCAGCATCCCCCATCCTTCCTGGGGCCTTCGGAATAAAACAGCCTCCTCTACAGGCTTTCAAGAACACAAGGGCTCTCATTGGTTTGCCTCTCACTAACCTTCCCAAACCTCTCTTTGCAAATTCCATCCTGTGAACCTACTCTTCAAGTCACACCT